CACGGCCAATTCCCTCAGGCATCAGATACCTTGTTCTATTGTGCTCCATTTTCCTTGGTGCACCTGAAGATCTTCTTTACAAAGGTATCTGTCCTTCACACTTGTCAGCAGTTGCCGCCAGAGGCTGAGAGTTTCTTGGGTTCTCCCAATCCCCTGGTCAATGACCACATCCCGGGACAGAGATCCCAGTTGCCTCGCCTCACTTCCTTCCAGAATGGTGTCATTGGCTGCAGCGTCCCAGATGTGGAGCAGCCAGGTCAAGATGGACTCATTTGTCTGGCGGGTGAATTCCCTCCGCAGGTCACGCAGCTCACCCAGGGATAGAGAGCGAGTGATGATTTCTGGCTCTGTCACTTCCGCTGGGTGCGAAGGTCCTGCCACATCCTCGTCAGTCACTATGCAAACTGATTTGCTCTTTGATTTCTTCTTCTGAACGGGGGCAACTGCTACTGGTCTAGGCTGTTCTGGTTCAGTGATGGTTTGTGTGGAGATGCTGATGGCACTTCTGGCTTTTTTCTCCTTTGTGGCCGTCTGCATAGACATGGACACTGTTGCTTTGCTTTTGGCTTTTTCCTCCTCTGTGGCAGTCTGCGTAGACACGGACACTGTTGCTTTGCTTTTGGATTTTTCCTCCTCTGTGGCAGTCTGCATAGACATGGACACTGTTGCTTTTTGTTTGGTTCTTCTCCTCTTTGTGACATTCTGTGCAGACGTGGACGAAGTTGATTTGTTTCTTTTTTCCTCTTCCTCAAGAATACGCAGCAATACAACATGTAGTGTTTTGTTTCTAAGCATGTTGTAGGCTGTGCAGAGGAGACAAAGCAGAACTAACAACAATATTATGCTGTCCTTAGCATCCAGCGGGAACTCAACATTTCTAAAAACTACTCTATCAGGCCAGAAAGATTGGAAAAAATCATCCTTTACCCCTCCCCCCAAGGGCTGGGTGTGATTGTTAAAACCCCAGATGTAGCAACCTAGACTAGGACAAGCAAACAAAGTCGAGTATATATTCCGAATTATGTTCCTTGCCTCAGAGGTTATCATGCAGTAGACATAATAGGCCAATAAAGCAATTTTTATACCATATCCTGGTCTACACAGGAACATTACAGCTGGAAGATAGTTCCCCATGTGTGGAAAAATATAGAGAGCAAGATATAAAACCCATGTAAGCATGTTGAGAATCATGGTGAAAACAAAATTGTAATACTGACTTTTCTCCGTACCCTTCATGCCTCATGTTGGGCGCCAATTAATGTGTTGGTTTGAAAGTAAAACCAGTGCTAGACTCCAAGTCAGTAATACAATTTAATAGGAGAAAAGAAAAAAAATAAAATACATGCAATAATATAAAAGAAACAACCACCGACACAGTCAGAAATACAACCTGACACCCTGTCAGTCAGGGTGTTGGTAGCAGTCTGTATAAATGGTGGCTGCAGTCCTCCTGGATGATGGATGTGGTTCCGTTGAAGCAGTGCTCCTGTAGAAGGGTGCAGTTTTCCTCCGAAGATCCAGCGATGATGTAGAAATGGTCCGACTTTCCTCTGGGATCCAGTGGAAAGGGCTGTCTTCACGTCCCAAACCCCAGTTTTTTATCTAGGTAGGAAAGGCTTGGCTCCTGCCCCTGGCTGGGGCATCTCCCAATGGGATGATGTAATCTTATCAGTCACACAATAGGACTTATGGCCCATTAACAGAATATATCTTCTGGAGGAAGGACGGGTTGTGAAAAGATAACGATGATCATCCCCCGATCTTATCAGATGGCACATCAGCAGAGGATATCTCCCACAGAGATAAGGATCACCACCCCTCCTACATTTTAACAGATGGTGATAGAATACACATTTTTGCATTGTACCCCAGGACAGCTGCATCGATGGCCTCCTCACCTGCACCTGGTGAGGATCTTTGCTACCATGAGAAGGAGCAGCAGGAGACTGCCAGGAGTGTGAAGGCAGGAAGCTCATGGATTCTGGCACCAGACCAACTCCAGCTTCACCTGCCAGGTAGTCACCAGAGGAGACACTCAGGATCCTTGTATCAGACAAGGAGCTCTTTGGAAGGAAGAACCTGAATCTTCTGAAGCAGCAGCACCAAGAAAGGGTGGTGAGAGACTCCCCCACAGGGAAGAGGGGAATCACCCCTCACATGGCAAGGCAGCAGAAGAACATGGAGCTCTGCCTGGGGACAAGCCAGCTGAGATTATGGGTTGGGATTAGCAGGGAGGCCAATATGGGTGGTAGGTGTCTGCCGCAGCCAATTGCTCAGAAAAAAAGCAAACACAGCCTGCTGCAGAGCACCACAGGAAACTTCCTTGTGTCCAAAGCCACTAGCCATCATAAGGGCTTTGAACACTCCAGGACACACTGAAAGGACAAAACCCAGGAGGTTTCTGGAGCTCATTAGTGATGACTTCCTAATACAAGGCTGAGGAGCTGACAAAGGGACAAACTGCTGGACCTCACGCTTGCAAACAAGGGTGAACTGACTGGGGGTGTGAAGGCTGGCAGCAGCCTGTTGGCTGTGCAGTAGTAAAGAGCCGGATTGTGAGGGGAGGAACAAGGCAGAAGGCAGGATCACAGAGAGCAAACACTAGCCTGCCCAGGGATTTTTTGGGAAAAAAAACATGACACATATCTTTGGAGAGAAGTACACAAGGCTTGGTTAATTTTTAAAGATCACTGTCTTTAAGCTTGATATTGGTCCAACCTGATAAGCAGGAAACCATGGAAAGGCCCTAAATGATGCAACAAGATTTGTGGCATAGAAATTATGTTTCAATGAAACAAAAACTTTGCAAGTATCAGCAAATTAGAAGGCCGCATATTGTTCTCAGGGAATCCAGAGAACAGCACACATTGCATTGCACAGCAAATCCCAGGGAGAGAATGAGAAAAACTGAGCTCTACAAAATACAAACAACTGTTTGCATCACAAAAATGTCTTCCTTTTTTTTAAATGTTTGTACTGATTAACAAGAATTGCTTCCCTGGAGTACAGTTCAACAGCATTTATGCTTCTACAAACACAGATCATTGGACTTAAGGCTTTATCTGATGATGAGAAACAGCAGCTAAAACTGTTTATAAAATGAAAAATCCCAATTTGACCTGAAAAAAAATAGAAAAAGGAAAACAAGCAAGCCTCAGGGAACAGAGGCTCCCTCTGAACAGAGTCCAAAATAAATAGAAGAGAATGTCATTGATGAGATTTTTCCAGGCAAAACTTATCTCCTACACCTGTTTTCTACCAGTTTGCTGCAGAGTGATTTTGTTGCAAGAAACAGAGGTAGATAACACCTACTAACAATCTTTTAAAAATCTATTCTATTTCAGCACATTTCTCTACACACTCTCTTACACTCAGGTTAGCCAGTCACAGAACAAAGACATGTTACTAGCTGCAGAAAAACACTACTAGGAAAGCTGACATACAAGAAATGCCTACAAATGAACATCAAAGAGACAGCAGCTCTGGTGTATATACTTTACTTGTCTGAGAGCTGTCCTGAGATGAAAGATCCCAGCAGGACACCCACAAAGAACAGGGAGGTGCTCAGGGGTCCCTTCCAGTCGTTGGCACATACGAGATTCCACTGCAGGGAGAGAGAATTGCAAAGTCTTTTAATAAACAGAATTTCCCCTCCCTCCTAAACTCTCCTGAGCTGGGTTTGGAATGAGTGAGAACAGAATTACAGAATAGTTTGGGTTGTAAGGGGCATTAAGGACAATCTCACTCCAACCCCCTCCATGGGCAGGGACACCTTCCACTAGACCAGGTTGCTCCAAGCTCCCTTCCACCTGGCCTTGAATACTTCCAGGGATGGGGTAGCCACAGCTTCTCTGGGCAACATGTACCAGAGCCTCACCACCCTCACAGGGAAGAGTTTCTTCCTAATATCCAATAGAACCCTGCCCTCTGTCACTATGAAGCCATTCCTCCTTGTCACTGCATGACCTTGTAAATAGTTCCCAAAACTGATTTCCCTGCATATAGTAATGTTTCCTATTAAAAAATCAACATTCCTAATTTAAGAAAAATTGAACTATAGAAACATCAATATAGCAAGAAAAAGCCTCTTTATTACATTTTAATATGGTTTTGAGAGACAAGAGACTGCTCATTCTTCACTTGGAATCTAACCTCAACTAGAATCTTTGAAATACAAATTGAAATATATACCTAACAAACAAAGATGAGGTATAAAAGAAAATATTTACTAAATAAAGTCTTCAATGGTTTTCAAGATCCTACCCACTTCAGTCAGATGTTTTTGAAACAGCACTCGTGTTATTTGTCCATCTACATAAACAACTATTATTGAAAGACTTTTAGTTCTATTTTGGTTATCTGGAGGGAAAAAGTGTGTAAATATTAGAAGAAAGAACAAAACCCAGCAGGAATCCCTCATGCCCTTCTTTAGAGCTATGTTCTGACTGGAGGACCTAAAACCGGTTTCCCAGAGCTCTCCCAGTACCTGCTGCCAGGGGGCAGGTGCTGCAGCCCTGCATGAGAGGAACTGGGAGGCAACAGATGCTTCTGATATGAGATCAAACCTCCCTGAGATTAGTTTCTCAAACAGCCCCACTCAAGGCCCCTTCTAATGTTTTAGCAATGGAAAATTTTAGATTTTAATCTGTATTAAAAAGGACGAAATGAAAATATTCATCCTGATCTAAATTATTAATCCTCCTTGTCCCCCAATTACAAATAATTCAGTATACCTTTTTCAATTCATTGAAGGGAACACCCTTCAATGGTTTGATCTGCTTCATAATAAACACACAGCAGTTGCTGTGTGTTCCAGCTTCCCCAGCCATCTCACCCATAGTCCTGCATGTAGAAATGCTGGTGTTTCACTGTCTTCCAGCTCTATCTCCTCAGCACGAAGCCTTTGACTCCAGCAATCTCACAGCCCTCAGCCTGTTAACAATCATGCTACAACTACATCCTAGTCTACATTTTAAGGCTGGAGGATCACTTAAAACTATGCACAGAATGAACAGCACCAGCAATGGCCTTCCACTGCCAGATTCCCATGTCAAAATGCAACTGGGCCGTCCCTTATTTCATGGAATAGCATCTAGTTTTGAATTAGAACTGGAAACTGTTCCAGAGATTAATTACGGTCATACACACAGGCTACACTCTCATCAGCTGTCTAACTTTAGCTGCCAGCCCTTATATTATCTTGTATTTATAAGACAGTCACCACAATTATTATTTTTAAGGTGAATATGCACCTTTTTCCAATTTGTAACTGTATTCAGGTCATTTCATAGCCTCTCCATTGATAAACCTGTTTGCGGTTTTATGTCTGAAAAATCTCTCCTTCTATCAGATTTCATAACCCTCAGCATTTCCTCCCCAGACATTTCCAGCCTTACAGCACCTTAAGCTCAGGTACCAGCACTCCAGGCAGTGCTCCAGCACATCCTAACAACACCATCAATTAGGCATCATTACAGAAATTCCTTCCAGAACTTCAGCTTTCTAATGTGTTAACAAATGTATCCCACTTATGGTAAGGAATTGAACTTACTATAGTTATCAACATCACTTAGATTATAACCTATAAATAACATTTATAGTTAAAACTGTATTATTCAACAAAAGCTATACTTCATTATAGACTAAAGAAAGCTTGAGCCTTTCTGTTATGACCACAGAGGCTAAGCCAGCTAGGAAGCTTCAGTAAAATATACCTGGCAACACGGAAATGCCAGCAAACGACTGCTATCAAATTTATAATTTATACAGGCCAAAGGTTTCAGTGGTTATCCTATGCCTTCATATGATAACACCTGCCAGAGAAACAAACACCACAAATACAAATCCTGCTGTTATAAAAACTTACCTACTCACAAAAAGTTATCTTTGTATCAACTACTGCAGTCAGATATCCTCAATAACAGAACTAAAATCTATCTTGGTGATTAGTCTATCATTACTAAATATGTCATTATTTTCCAGCTGATCACCCTATGCCTCTGAGTCCACCATCTCTATTCATCTGTCCTACACCCTGCACTTTGGCACAAGGCTTGCATAACACTTGGATTTCCGGACACTGGCATGTTTCTGTCCCATAACAAGCATTTTCTACAGATCACTGAGGTGGAGACCTTTCTTGGAAAAGTTCATGGTATTAAAATGTTTAGCACAGCTCTGCCAAAACCTTCTTGCATTGGCAGGTGGAAACATACTGGGCATTCAAATGTGGCAATGATTACCAGCTTGTTTTTCTGGCCTCTCAATGTTAAAGCACAGTGAGGAGCTGTCATGCTGAAGATCACTTGAACAAGGCACCAAAGTGAACTTCAACATCAACTTTCCAAAGTAGAACTACCTTGGCTCTACAATACCAGTTATTTACAGACTCCACAAAAGCACAACAATTAGAACAAAGGGATTTTAAGGTCTGTTACCCTTTGCTCCAGTAAATAAATGTTAAAGTCTTCAACTTATTAGTGACACACCTTTGAGGTCTATTATATTGCTTGTCAGTGATGATGGCATCATCTTTCCAGAACCATTTTGCAACCATACCCTTCCCTCAGCTGTGCATTATCCAAGAGGAAGTCACCAAGGCATCACTGCTAGCAGATCAGCATAGCAAAAAGCAAGTGTCCCAGGAGTAGTTATTAATTAAACCCTGCTGCTGGCAGTGCTGTTTGGACACAGCATACCATGACCTAGTGCTCTAAAATCATGTGCTATTTTCACTTCTTAGTATCTTTTGAACTAGCCTGCTAGCTGTAACAGCCTTTGCCCCTTATCTGTGAACAAGATAAGATTAACCTCGGCGAGGTATCTGGGCTTCAAACAGAAGAAAAACATTTCTGCTCTGTTTTTGAAGAGCAGCTGCTGATGTTGTGAAGCATCTACTGCTCAACACTGGTATGCAATGGAACAGAGCATTCTTGATCTATTTCATTATAACTTTACGACATCCTCTGTTGCAGTTTAAACTTGTCTTCTTACTCATCTTATAGATACTTTGTGATTTTTCTATTTCCCAGGCAATTCATCAGGTTGGGGTGACGTCTTTCAGCAGCCTCATACCCAGCATAAATGATAACTAGTGCACCTGAGTTGAGGTGTGCTTATGCACCTCCGTAAGTGGATTCTTGGCTGATGCCAGTCACTAGTGAAGACAGCTAGGAACAGGGGATGGGAAAAAGAGGACAGGCTATGAAGACGGCCAAGAATGTGGACAGCTTGGGCTAAAAGGCAGGGGGACCAAAAAGCAGAGGGATTGAAGCAGTTGCTTCTCAAGCACAGGTCTGGGGCCCGAGTACTAAACAGTCTCAGGCACTTACAGTCATCACTTACACACCCCACTAGGAGAGCACTTTCCAACTTCTGCTTAATCTCTTACATGCCAGCTGCCTGGAATCATGTCTCCAAATCCCTTGGTAGAAAAGCAAGCCCAGTGACAAAACTGAGAAGAATAAAAACTCTATAAACTACTCCATCAGATCTCCTCCCTCCCACAAACTCAAGACCCTTCCCTAAACAAACAATCCTAAACAAAGCTAGTCTGTGAGAAATACAAAACTTCAAGAGCCTCACCTGGTTATACTCCTGTCCTACAAGGAGAAGCCTTATAGGAAAAACAATTTTTATAACTACAAGATACTGTGTCTTCCCATTCCTTTATTTTTTTAAATTATTTTCCTGTCTTGCTGAGAATAACAGCATAACTGAAATATTAAGTGGCCAGTTCCATGTATTAATATTTTCTTTTTAAAAATGAGCATGTTAGCAACTTTTGGAAGCTAGGCCACTACCCTGTATTCGCTCCTTCCACTTGCTTCTCTCAGCAAGTAGAGGTAGGTTCTTCAAAAAATCTGTCTCACAAGCAAGTACTGACAATCTTTGATTCTGAATCTAATTTTGTTTATATCCATACAAGTATTCTCTGCTTACTTGAGAGCTGTGAGTGTTATTAAACACCCTTTCCTCTAAAAACACATTTGTATATTCCAAATACTTAGAAGTCTAGTAGTTACATTGAAACTTATTATCTAAAGCAAACATAAGTCTTATTCTTTTTCAAGAAACATTCTGCTTAATTTTCCGTCCTCTAGTTGTTTTACATTTTTATAGAGATAAAATTTGCATAGAACAGGAAGGAAATTGCCAAATATTTTACAATTCCGGTGCAGAAACGGAACTGCTCCCCCTACATCACGTTTCTGAGATGACTGGAGAAAAAGGAAAGAGGGCACTGCCATGACCTGAGGTGAGTTTGAATTTAAAAGTAAAGGCGACATAAAGGGAATTTTACCTTGTCACTAACTGTCTGTAGTACCTCTAAAAGACCACTGTATCCATTTAACAATACCAGCTGCAGGCCTATTACTTTTTAACAATACTAATCTTACATTATGTTGCGATGTCAAAAATTCCTGTATTTTGTACAGTTCCAAACACTACTTCATGATGTGCTTTTTAAATCACACCTAGAAAAACCTAGCATTTTACAAATACCTTTGTATATCTGTCAGACATTTGTATTTACTTATTAAATGAAAACCAGACTTCTTTTCATTCTTCTGTCAAGACTAGTAATACCAAGCTTTTGCAAAGCTGCAAACAGCTTTTTCAGCTTCTGGGGCTGCGAAGTTAGGAGTATGAAAACTTCAGCCACAAAGATAAGCAGATATTAACCTACAACAATAAAAAATAAGCACCTGTTTTAAACGACGATAAATAATGGAGGTGACTAACATTAATGAAGAGCTGGGTGAGAGCTGAACCTGGATGACACAGGGTTGATTTACAATTCAGCTGCTGGGTCCACTCCTGCAAATCTGGTCTAGTGGAAGGTGTGCCTGCCCATGCCAGGGGAGTTGGAAGTAGATGATCTGTAAGGTCTTTCCCAACCCAAACCATTCTATGATTCTATGACTCTAAGTTACAACATCTAGCATAAACCTGAATTTTTATTTTGGTAAAGTAAAATTATACATCCCTCTGCCTTCCAACAGGGTGAACATCAAAACCTCTCTGGATAACCAGGTGTGTCACAGAGCCCATTTGTGTCCTCCACATATCACTATTGCAGTCTCCCTTTGCTTCCTGAAGCCCTAGCATAACCCACTTATCTGCAGGGACTGTGGTCCGACAGCACAGCAGGGCACTTGAATCCCTGGGGTGCAGACAATGGAAACCTCTGGGCCCTCATCTCTGCCCAGAACTTTCTCTGAACACTCATACAGGATGGAGCACCAGCCCTGCGCTAAGCCTCTATTCCCACCATGTGCATCCTTCCTCTGCAAAAGACAACAGTCCCTAAAGTTTGCCAATAGCAAAACAGATACAAACCATGAAAAAAACATGAAAATGTGGCATACACTACCTGCACTGGTTTCAAGTTGATGAACAATACAACACCTTTTTAGAAGCTGAGGATGAATAAGTGTATCCAAAACTCAGCATCTATTTATGGTTCACTGTTTAAGAATTACTCTTGTGTGAATTAAAATGTTCTGACTGATCTAACACTTCATTATATTATATTTCTAGTGCACTTATGCCCTTAACTCCACTTCTCAATTCTACTCCCAGTTATTCTGTATAGGCCCATAACAGCCATGACTGGCAGAAGTTAATATTTTCCCTTAATTATGCCCTGTTTAGTCCTTTTACTACCATGCATGAACTTTCACTACTCTTAAATTAATTTTTTACAGGACTTATGGAGGAATTAGAATGACACAGTTGGCTTCTTGAGCCAAAATAAAGCCCTTCCTTTGCCCTGAGTTACAGCATTTCAAAAAGTAAAAGACAGAAAGGGATTTTGTTACATCAGAGCTGATTAAATACTGCAGACTGGTTAATAACAACATTCAGTTGTTAGTCTGTGAGAAAAGAAAGTCTCTCTTCCAGTGGGAGAGAACTGAATGTTTTAAGTCTCCCCTGGAAAGCAGAACCATAAACAAGGTTTCTCTAAAGTCATGAGACATTCAGCAAAAACCTTTATTAAAAAAAAAAAAAATCCGCCTCCCCATTCCCAGTGTCAGCTATGGAAATCTGGGACAAAGGTCCTCATGATTATTCAACAAGTTAAGGATATGCAACCAAACATAAGATTAGTTAATCATAAAAGAAGTACCACCAAGCCAAGAAATTAAACAAGTTAAACACTGAAAACCTGTAAGTGTGTGAAAGGCCACAGCTCTTGCAAAACTCCCTCAGAAGTATTAATATTAGAGGAGAAAAAAATACTGCCTCAGTGCATGATGCCTGAGCATACAAACATTGCCTCCCACAGACACAGGACATCTGCCAAGTCACACACACAACGCGTCAGGGCTGGGGAGTATCAGCAGTATGTGAGCAGCTCTCTTTTCTTACTGATTATTAAACTTGATGATACTCCAGTAGCTCAAGACATTTTAATTAACACCAAGCCCAAGCTGGGTGAAGCTCTAAAGACAAAGCACCACATCTAAGCCAGGAAAACCATCATAGCACAGCACTCAGAGCAATACCTGTGTGTCTGCCTGTGAAAGAGGCCTGCCCAAGAAGATGCCAACTGCCTTACACCACCCTGAGAGTACTCAGCCTTTCACAACAGTGCATTTCAGCAAGGACTGGAGCCGAGAAATTCTGAGCAGCTTTCCTCTCGAGGAAGACAGCAATTCTTTAGAAACAGATGAGGTAATGCCTTGTGCCGCTTGTCAGAATCATTCAAACCCTTGACTGAGTTTCCAACAACTCCTGTGTCCCCATTTCCAATCCTCCCTTGTGCTGAAATGGCTCCTCTTCCATGTTCCCCAAGTCACCTTAGTCTTCTAAGTACCCAGATCAGCTTTGGTGCTCACACCCATCACTACCCAAACATGGATCACAACCCAATTTGCAAAGCAAATGGCATATTTTCTTATGGAGCTCCAGCTTCATAAAACTCATGTCCAAGCAATGGGACTACAAACTTTGTAAGCCTTCTGAAATTCAAGCATTTCTCAGAAGTACTTCTCACAATCCATTTCCTTGCCTCTTAAGTCAACCTGCCCTTGTGGGTCTGGACAGCTTTCTTCTGAAACCAGAGTGACAATCAGCAGAGCTTCACCTTTGGTTGGTTACCCACAGCCCAGACTTGATTCAAGCAGTATACCTGCACAGACAAAAAAATGACCTGTCCCAGCAGGTGAGCAGAGACCAAAGCAGAGGCACTGTGGGCACATAGCAAAATTCAGGGTCTTCTGAATAAAGTATCAAACCAGGGCTCTCCAACTCATGCATTTTGTGCAACTCAGGATGACTCTAAACTGTGAGAGTGGTGACACGTTGGCACAGGCTGTCCAGAGAAACTATGAATGTCCCCATCCCTATATGCATTCAAGGCAAGGTTGGACAGGGCCTGGAACAGCCTGGTCTAGTGGAAGGTGTTCCTGCCCATGCCAGGGGGTTGGAACTAGATGTTCCTTAAGACCCCTTCCAACCTAAACCACTCTGTGATTCTATGAGCTCTACCACATTTATTTTTTTAAAGAAAGAAAACAAATGCTGTTGATCTCCAGAGTTCAGAGAGACATCTCTGTCACACCAAGCAAGCTGAACCCAGTGCTCACCCTGCTCCAGCCCCTTGCACAGATACCTGATGAACCAAGAAGCATTTGCACAGTGTGACCAGTTTCGCTGCATAAGGAAACAGGCTGCACTTGGAAGATCATTATAGAAACAAAGAGCGTTAAGGGACTGGAATGGACCTTAAAGATCATCTAGTCCTTGCCATGGGCAGGAACACCTCCCACCAGACCAGGTTGCTCAAGTCCTTATCCAACCTGGCCTTGAACATTGGGGATCCAATGGATCAACCTACCAGGGCAACCTGTCCAGTGTCTTCCCACCCTCACTATAAAAATTTCCTTCCTCGTTCATATGCAAATGAAAGCGAACAGAAGACCTCAGAATAAACTCGGCATGGCAGGTTTAACAGCCGATCAATGTGCCGGCAGAAACCCCAGAACGCGGCAGAGCTGTACCGCTACTGCGATAACGCCACGATTCTCCCCGGCACCCCGGGGCTGCCCGAGAGTCCCCTCCCGCTCCCGCGCACCTCGGTGACGATTGTAGAGTGATAGACATCGCGGCTGTACTCCCAGCCGTCCAGGCACGGCTCCTGCTCCAGCGCCTCCAGCTCCACGTCGGAGCCGGGTCGCAGCCCCAGCGCCGAGAAGTTGGCGAGCGCGGCCAGGCGGTAGCGGCGGCAGCGGCTCGGCGCCTCCTGCCCGCCCCGCAGCTCCAGCGGGATGCTGGCGTTGCGCCACTCGTCGCTCAGGTTGGCCCCGCCGGGCACGATGCACCGGTGCTCGGGCGTGCCGGCCAGGAACACGATGGACAAGCCGTTGAAACCATTGGGAATGATGCTGGCGCTGAGTAGAAAGAAAACGAGGCGCTGGAAGCGTCCCCATTCGCCCAGGAAGGCGGTGGCCGCGTCGTAGTCGCGCATAGCACGGCCGAGCTGCGGCCGCCAGTACCGGCGGGTCAGTCTGGCGCGGGCAGGAAGCAGCCGTCCCGATCGGCCGCGCAGCCCGGCGCCATGGGCCGGGCTGGGGGTGGGGCTTGCAAGCGGAGGCCGCGAAGGTGGGGCCGGCCCGGCGTAGGCGGGCCCGGTGCACTCCGACTGGAGGCGGGCGGGGTCCCGGGCGGGCTGGGGCAAGCGGCGGGTGCCGCGGGGGAGCCGTCTCGGTGGACCAAGCGGGAGTCTACGGCGGGTGTATTACACAGGGGCTACAGTAGGTGGCCTCGGAGCCTGCTCGCTCCGCTCTGGGCAAGTCTCTCCCCGGCCTGGGGCCGCTTTCCAGCTCCCTCCCGGCCGAGGGTGGCACAGGTCCCCTGCCCTTCGTGACTTGTGGTCAGGAACGGCCATTAATAAAGGCATCGGATCTTGTATTTACTGCCCAAATAATTAAAAAAACAGGGTGGAGATGAATTATAGTCAATGAGATTGGAAAGGACCTCGCACATCATCGCGATCAACATGACCGAACAGCATCTTGTAACTTATGTCATGCTACGTCCAGTCTTTCCTTAAAACCTCCAGGAACAGTGATTCCACCACCTCTCTAGCAGCCCATTCCCACCGAATGATAATTGGGCTCCCTGCAGCCCCCAAGCCACACATGTGAACCTGCATGGGGTTCTTCGATAAAACCTTGTTTGGAGTCAGTACCATGTATGAGCCAGGAGTCTTCATGGATTGTTCTGCTCATCAAAGCAGGGCAGTTGCTGCAAGTTCAAGAGTTAAAGGGTTCCTCATTTCACTCTGTAACACCTTCCCACAGCTGCCATTGTCCCTTCAGCAGGCTCAGCTGAAGCTGTACAAAATCTTTCCTAACCCTGACACTATTTTCTCAGGCAATGCATACTACATACTTGACAAATAATAAATAATAAATTTAATAAATAATATGCTAATCTTAGGCTCAAAATCCCAGCTCAGGACCTAGTGGCACTGTCAGCAAGTTCACAGAGTCCCATAGATGTCAGTTCAAAAGCTGAATTGCATCACTATAGAAATTTGGTCTTGCTCTTCATAAGGCTAACTCACATTTTCAAGTGGCTTTTTACGGCTGATATTTTTCCCCACCTCTAGTTGATTAAAAAAAAAAAGTGTACTTTTTACGGCATTTTTTGAACACTTGTATTTAAAATGATCTTTTATCCCGGGTTGGAATCACACAGCTGTGAAAAATGTCAAAGGTGATAAATGAATGACATAATAGGAGTTAAATCAGAAAATCATTCTGAGCCTGGGCCAGGGTCAGCTTCCAGGGATTTGTACCTGAAAGGCAGGAAAACTGTACCACAGTTATCATAATCTTCCTGTGTGGAAGAACTTAATTCGTGAAAGAGCTTATTTTAGGACTTTCTTTTTCATGCCTGATCCACACTAAATAATTTTAATTAATTATTTATTGAAAATTCTTGGCACCAAGTGTATAAGTTTGGAGACTTGCTCTTCAAATAGAATCCACACAGGAAGCAGGTTGAAACAATGTCAGTGCACATTTTTATTACAGTGAAGACAGAAGGCAATGTCTGACAATTACTATAAGCAGATCCAGTAAGTCAGCTGAGGATTAAAAGTTGCACAGAGAGACCCCAGTAAAGGTGACAGAGGTTACAGATGAGGCACAGTAGGATGGCCCCTGTGTCAGTGAGAACAATCCAGCTGGGGCTTCCCTACGCCCTACTTCCACTACGCTCAGACTCCATAAGGCCTTATAACAACATTGCATACTTTTAAGAAAGACATTCCACTCCTCTGAAAGATTATTAAATCTGCTGCAAAAAAATACTAAAATGTGACATGAGCTTGAGATCAATGGTTTAAGTAAGAAAAATGAGACTGGTTAAAACACACTATTTAAAGAAACACTGTACTTTTTCTTATTAAAAAAAGGAAAAACAGGTTTTAGAATACTGAAAAGTTCAAGAGTACATAAATATTTACCTTTTAGAAATACCCAAGCCTACAATCACATAAAATAAGTTGCAAAATAACAATCTTCATAAAAATATGGCCACCTATATTTAACTCAAGTTCTCAAATCTATCTTATGTTGATAAAAAGGCTTTATTGAGAAATTTAGTTACATCTAAACAGTACTTGTTTAGATTAACTCTGTAAAAGTAAAAACAATATTAAATACTGCTGTTAACAGAGAAATTGATTGAAAAGGGATGAAAAGATTGGATGTCACAGGGCACTGGTTCTCTCATGCCATGTTACATTTATGGCAAAAGTGTAGCTGCAGGAAATTAAAAATAGTATTTTCACTCCCAAAAGCATCTTGAGTTAATTGCACAAGTTCCTTGCATTTGTTATAAAGCTTAATATTTGTGCTTGAACTTCAGGGAGAGCCTCATTCTTGTGCCAAGAGCCTGCACAAGACAACCTACCCTGAACTCACACATTAGAGACGAGACACTATGCTTTTGTTGGCCCTTATAGAAGATGAATCAGGGCTAATTGCTATTTATAGAGGATAAAAATCAGTTTACCAGGTCTGACAGATCTTAAGTGACCAAGACATGCACATACAGCCAATAAATACAAAAATAAGAGGAATTACCCTCTTCAAACAATGTAGTGTTCATAAAACAGTAGTAGCACAACTCTGAGCTCTACCTTTGTCTTCATCCAATCTAGTTTTTCTGAACTTAAAAAACCTCCAAAAGAACCAAACATGCATAATCTGTAGGATTTGAAAAACAAAACACTGTTTTTGTTTGATGCCTAGAGGAGCTGGAACAGATGCTACACACGGAGTTAAGGGGAATAAAATGGGTATTTATTGAGAGGCCTACAAAAGGCCACACCCTAGCAGTATCAGTGCCACAGACGCGGCCCCTGCCTGGATGGCTCCAAGATGGAAGTAAAGGAGAGCTTGGTCACAAAATCTCATATTTTTATAGGTTTTGGTTCATTTGCATGAACCTGCCCTCATCTTTCCACATTGTTTATGCTTAGGGCCCGAAGTCTGAAGAAATTGTCCTTCAGTTCTTAACTGGAATTGGACTGTTTTGTCTTCATCACCCTAGCACATCAGAAAATCACACCCAAGCAGAATAGAAAAACTAAAAACTTAAGGCATCATGTTGGTGTTCGGGTTTCTTGGTTTTTTTAAAACCCAAATTAGTCCTTTTAAATTTTTAATAGCTGCAGATGAACATATCCAGTACTGAAAATCAGATTTTTGTGAGCATCAAATGCCTTTAAGTTTGTAAATTTTGAAAAGGTTTTATGAAACCTTTTGAAACTGCAGCAAGAGTTCTCTGAAGGTGCAGAACAAAGTGATATATATGCAAAGGAGAAATTAAATACTTTGGGAAAAAGAAAAAACAATTCCCCAAGAGATCTAAAAAACAGTTTATGCCCATATACAATGAAAAACCTGAAAGCTAAAACTGCATGGCATGTTAGGACAGAATCACTGACTTTCTACAACTCACTTTTCTGTTAAAAGTGGGTATGACCCACTGGAAAGTCAGCAAATTATAGTTCTTACTCAGTGCTCAAGATATCCCCCTTCCCCAAAGACACTGAAGATTCACAAAGCTGAGGGTTTTGGGTGGGCTCAGGCTTTATGAAAAAGCAGCAACTTTTACAGGAAATAGAGCATCCTAGGTCTTGAGAAAAGCAAATGACATCTAAAGCCACTCTGATGTTATGTTTAAAACCCATATTGTTACAGGGAAAGCTATGCTCTGCTACAAATGAATTCTGTCTCCACTTAGTCTATGGGCTTTGGTCACAGATTTCAAAGGATGCCAGGATCTTTCTTTCAGGTTTTGAAAGGCAGACACCCTGCTCCCCTTCCTCCAGTCAACACACAAAATGAGAAAAAAACACTAGCATTACATTTGCTATTTTTTTCCCCATTCAGCAGCTTTGATCAAGTACCTGACTGCCTGGAGTCACTGCTGTATTATTTCTAAGGCTCACTTCCAGCTTACTTGTGTATAGCGCAGACAGGCCCCCATTTCTAAACAGGGACTGTGTCTGCTGACAAACCCCAGGAAACAGGACACTGAATTACACACTAATAGTCCTACAGGTAGACAGCATCTGATCAGTAGACTATGTAATTTGGGGACAGCAGCGCAGGAGATAGCAACTATGGTGCAGTAGCTGTTGGGTTTTGTTCATTTTCCTCTGGCAGAAAATGCATTTTGAAATTATTTTGTTCTTCTTTCAGCCCCTCTGAGAGGTGTGTCTTTCTTCACAAAGGTGTTATCAGACTTTTAGGACTCTCCTTGGAACTTCTAATGCCAGTGGTTTGTTTCCCATTTCTGAAACTGAAAGCAAGTAAAAATCTGAGAACATATTCAAGGGTGTCATCAGACACTTCCCTCTCGTATAAGCACCACTACAGTAATCATGTTACACTGCTAATATAACATTAGATGAAATATAATGTTCTGTACAGTGTGCCTTGCCTGAATTCCTGTGAAGCATGGGATAAATGAAAGCTGCCTTACCATTTTACCTTCAGCATCTGCTCAAAGCTCTCGGGCAGTGGACTGCCATAGCTCTCTGGGAGAAACAGGGTAAGGATCCCAATCAGCACTGTCAGGCTTCCCATCAAGATATATGGTAGGAATCTGTCATAGGCACCTGGCAGAACACAGAACATTCCAACAGTAATTAATGTCCATAACTGACAAACCCACACATAATGTTTATATTCCAGACATAGCTGTAATGCAGAATTAATTTGGAATAATTAGCTGAAAGATTCAACAATATCAAAGGTGAATCCAAAGCTGAATTACATCTATTACCTGCCAGCAGTCAAAGGGACTTTTCAATTTTAAAGCTTTGACATGTGCTCTTGGATGGCCACACCTACCATAATTTCATGCCAACCCCCACATTTGTGTACCAGCTAAAAGTTTGGGTAGCTTTTTTGTTTGATTGAGATTTTTTGGTTTTTTTTAATATATTTTAAACTGGGATAATCAACATCTTTGCAAGGCAATAGCTCTGCTGGAGCCTTCAGTACCACACTGCCATCAAGAACCAAATCCTCTGTTAAATAATACGAGGGAATAAAATTGCTTGTAAGCAAAGAAGCACTCATCACTGCCTGAGATCATGTATCCTGTTGGGCTGATGCAAAAGAAGGGAAGAGACTAAGTCAGCTGAACAGGTCAGTTACAGACTAACAGCTCATTAATGGGGAAATGCTTTCATGCGTTCCTTACTGCAAAGGGAGAGAACATCAGGCTTCCCAAGACACACATGAGGCTCTGACCTTAGTGTACTCAGAAAATTATTTTGAACTTGAAGGCAGCAGCCTCAAGCTGGCACTACAACTGTTTAGGAAGGATGCAAGATCCTCAAGTCACAACAGCACAGCAATGAAAATGTCTTTCAGAAAAGGGATTAACTAGGAGTTAAAGTATTGAAGATAAAGAAAGTACCAAACTGGATTTGACAGCTTTATTTTATAACAGGGATAGAGCAATGTGCTTTATAATGTATGGAATAAACTCAGATTAAAGAGAGGACCTCTGGGTATGTCTCACAGAGCCGAAGTTTATAATTTGATCTCCTCTGTGTTTTTGAGCTGGATGAACTGCAAGGTCCTAATTTAGCTGTAGCAAATAGCAGCAGCTGACAAATTTCTCCCAAAACCTCTTAAAGTTTAAGAAACTATTTTGATGTCTGGAACAAGATTTCTTAAAGACTGAGTCCATGTATACCTGAGAGAAACAAAAACCACAAATCCACAAAAAACAATCAGTAAAAATGTTATTTTGTCTACATTTCTCTCTTAGTGCTGAAATGGAGACTGAAGACCTTAAGGAGAGCCATAGTACTGCTGACCCTTTTACTTTACATTTGCACTGTACAAGTATCATCATCATTTTTGGCACATTGTGTTCCAGTTACACTGGAATGCAGAGGAGCATTAACATAACTAACACTGATTAGTTACAGATAGTCATCTCCTCTCCACTTTCCTGGCAGGGAGAATCAGCACTAACCCCTTACTAATACACCAGCAATGTTCTGTCAGAGCCAGCAAAGTTTTATTCATGTTGTATGAAAGATCTCAGCAGGAAGCAGTACTCGTTAGGGGCAGAGAGAATTGACATGGGTCCAGTTATGGCTGAAGGAAATACATCATGTCTGATTGAAAGAAAGAGGAGATTGAGCACCCCAGACTGAACAGCAGGGATTCACAGATAGTTTTACCCTTAGTCGTCTAACCTCTATCACTCTTTCCTGTCCGCAACATGAGCAATATTTTTATGCATTAAACATAAAAACAAAACGAAAAATATTTGTTAGTTAATATATACACAGCAGTCAGAATGTGATGGCATTGAATGTCAAAAAAGCCTATGAGGAAATCAATAATTCTGCTTACAGAAATATTGAGCAGTAAGAAAAAGCAAAATTAATTAATGCTGAGGTGACTGGCTCAGAAACTAAAAAAATTTTTTAAAAAATCACTTCAAGTAAACACACTTTCATGCCACTTAACCTGTATGTTTTCCATATGTTACTTTAGAAAGCACAAATCCTGAGAATGTTTGGATTCCCACCTGGTTTATCTCCCAACATACCCATCTCAGGACGCACAGGGACAGTACAATGCAATGAATTTCCTACTGCTACATTTCCTTACTTGCAAGACCACACCTTGTCACGCTCTCCTGGGAAACTAACTGGCATCCCGAGATGTGATTATGATTTCAGCCACTCTGCTTGCACAGTTTATAAACATCATCATGGTATTTAAGCCCCTTCAGTGATATATGAATGGTACCTAAAGGAATGAAGTGCCTAATCCTTCTGTGAAGCCCAGGACACTCCACTTAATTTCTTCCATATGTGACAGTGAACTCACATCCAAGCTGAGAGAAGGAACTAAAAAGAACCTTCACAACAAGTGAAGGTACTTAAAGCTGAGTCTGCACTGCAGAGGCTCAGACAACTTCTCTGGGCAGTTGTGGGGTGCAAGGCACGAAAAATGATATCTCACCCAGGTAAACAAAATAAGGAGCAATGATGCTGCCCAGCCTGGAAGCCGTGGAAGTTGCTCCAACTGCCATGTTTCGCACTAGTGTTGGGTACAACTCCACATTGTAGACATAAAGCATTGAAAACGCAGCTGTGATGCCAAACTTCCCAAGCATCACCAGTCCAACAGAGAGGACATTAAGTTCTGGAGGAGAAAAAAAAAAAATTGAAGTGAATAAACAATACCCTGTGCTTATTACTTGCATTACTTCTACATCCAAAAGACTGTATTACTGTGTTTTTCCAAAAGGCCATGAGGTTGGCACTTTAGGTTTTTTTAATTATACAAAGGATTAATCCCATCCCTAGATGACTCCAAACTCCCCACTAAGCATAATGTAGACGCTCAGGTCATTTTGTATTTTTCAGATTTTGGTTGTCTTCAAGTAAAACTGCATTCTTGAAATGGAACAAAACTGTAGATTGCACAGCAATAAACTACAAGCTTGAGCCCACCCCTTTTTCACAAAATCCTGTAGAGATTTACATACAGTGGAACCTGGATGCAGGTTTTTGTAGCCTGGAAGCACAATCAGATAAACTGCAGTACTTTTGGCTTTCATTTTAGAAGCTGCTTCCCCCTGAACTATATAAAGGTCAGTAATTTGACACAATAAATGACAGTTGAGTGTGACTCAGCATGTACAAATGAAAAAAAAAATTAAACCTAAGCCTGCAAGGGATCAGCATAACCATGACCTCAAATTCTAAATTTAATCCTGGTTTCCAGTAATCTTGCAGAACTATTACACAGTATCATATTTTGAATGTTTCATATACTTAAGTCACATATTTAATTTTGTACCTGCAGGAACCAATTGAATGAAGAGGACTACACTTCCCCCTAAAAAAAAGGTGCCAGATAAGGAGTAGCGGCGTGGGAAGGAGCGGAGGAGAAGCCAGGCAATCACATAAGCTGGAACTTCAATAACAGCTGAGAGGAAACAATTGACGTAGGCATTTCCATGCCAATCTGGAGTGCTGAGGGACAGGCCAAAGTAATCAACTGATGTGAAAAACCTGAGAAAACCAATAAAAGAAAATTATTTCAGAAACAGCAGTCTCTGAATGGCTCCAGTGTTGCCTCGGATGTTGTTACAAAAATAGGATATCGAAAAGCACCGCCACAGGCATTGTGGCTCAAAAAAGTCTCAGTGGCAGCCCCCTCTTTTTAATTCTGTGATCCCATTCAGCAAACATATCCACAGCAGCTTGAAGACACCTCAGATTTCTCTGTCCTTCCTGCATACACTACACCAAGTAAAAAGCTTTGTGGAAGTTGTTCACAAAGGCTTTTCACTGCAATGGACTCAATGACATCATAAAACTCTTGCAAGCTTCCCAAACCAACTACATTCCTACTTGTAGCTAGTGTCAGGATCTCCCACCCTCAGCAGTTCTGTTGTATCTTATTTAATCTTCACAGAGAGCTGGATGTTCAGGTTTCAAATCTCAGGAGTGCCTTACCAAATGTACTAGCCAGTTCCTTTCTGGTGGGGGGGATATGGAGAGAAAAGAGTTCTGTTTTGCCTATATGGCATTATTGGGTCCTCATTTCTCGTGGCTGCCCAGGCAAGGACGAGGATCTCACTGAGATGGGCACAGTACAGAAATAGAACAAAAATGCTGGTCATGGGTCTGGCTCTTGTTATGTTACTGAGTTGCTGCCTTTGCTTCAAGAAGAACATTTCTCTTCAAATAGAGATTGCAGAGAGGGGAGCATTAAAAAAAAAAATAAGAAACTTACTTCAAAATACACAACTTGTTACACATAGTTTTCTAACTATTTTACATCTGAGTCAAGGCTATTGCCTCTATATTCTTGTGTATTAATGCAGTGTGACTGTGAGGACACTGAGGGCCACGTACCCACCAAGGACCACTGGAGTACAGCTCTGAGGCTCAAAATCATTATCTAAGCCCGTGGCATGTACCCTCAAATGAGAAACTGTTCTATTGCCTGGGTACTTTAGGAATACACATTTCCTTACCACATAAGTAATGACATAATAGTAATAGTTGCAATGTTTCGGGTTCGAAATAGGTCCAGAAGGATAGCCTTCTGCTGCTGCTGAGGCTTCGAATCCTGCATCTGAAGGAAAAAGGAAAACAAAACCAAAAAAATTCCCACACACCTAAGAGCATAACAACCTCTGCTACCCACAATATGGGCAGTTATGAAGTTATGACTATCAGGGGATAACTGGTCAGCCCAAGGGCCACTTCTGCACCAGCGAGCTCAGTCCTTAGGTGGAGCTTGTCTATGTACACAGCTGTACTCATGGGAGTTTCCACTGCATCATGATGACTAATTAGAAAGGAGGATCAGCTGACCAGACAGACGAAGTAACATTTCCTTAAGGATCTCACACAGTACTTCCAAAAATAACCTCATTACCAAAGGCATTTTTCAGTCCATTCTGTGCACTGTCCATTCAGCTCTCTTAAGCCTTCGTAAGTGAGGTGAAATAAATGTAGGAAGTCACCCTGTTTTCTTGCCTGCCAGCACCCTGACAGGGAGAGGAACAGATAAGAAAGGTTGGTGAGGTGGCCAGGGTACATCATAAGAGCATCCACCACCTCAGATGGGAGATGAAGGGTGTGGTTTGAGGCTTGAATCTTCTGGATGGCATTAGGGTGCCTTTGCTCTTGCTGGGGAAAAGCCAGAACTTGTGGCCAGGCTTCCCTCGGGCCTAAAGAACAAACCACTCTGCTTCTCCCTACACGACTATCCAGGAGATACCCTTTTCTAGGAATAGATTAATATAAGGACACTGCTTGGAAACCATAATGTTTGAAATATACTTCCAACATTATACTTAGCATGTAGACATCATCCTCAGACTATTGGACGGACACTTTGGCACACAAAATTTCCATGAAGCAGGTGAGTGTCTCCTTGTTTTAACAAAATATGCAGGAATGATTAAATGCTGCAATCCAAAAAACTCATCCCCAGTTTGAAAGACATCTGAGGCCTGGCCTGTGATGTAAGGGAAGTGCTTTTCCATGGCTGGTGTAGCATGAGCTTCCCATAAATGGAACATGCACTTCAATTTACACTAAAACTTCCACTTTGGAAAGAGATCTTCAACCAAAATATAAGTGCGACAGTCAAGTGATGGATCTTGACCAGGAGAGGGGAGTAACTCGCAGCATCTTTGTCCGGCAGTCACTGCAGAGGAGCACACAGTGCTTTGCTTTCTGCTCTATAAGAAACGCAGACACAAAATGCAGGCGGCAGTATAAGGCAGTAGAGGAAGATCCGACTATAGACACACGGTCATTGCTGACACAAGGCTGGAGGTGTCTTTGTACAAGAAAAGTGTGCCTCTTTGTGAGGAGCTCCAGTGAGGGCAGAGCCAGTAGAGGGCGAGATGAGCACAGGAAACAGCCATCCCACTGTGTCTATGCTGCTCCCTGGCCTGCTGAGCACTAGACTTTCTTCTTTTAACCAATAGATATGAAATACAGAAAAAACACGGTTTTGAAGAAGAGCTTGATGTTCTTCACTTTCTTCATTCACATCATGGTTTTCAAGTGCCCTTGTAGCACTTGGGTACTTTGGCTGGTTTGTGCAACCTGAAGAGGCCCTCAGGCTCCACACAGCCCACGTAGCTCATATGGGTGCTTATTTAGGGTTCCCCACACAGCCCCCCCTGCAAAGGGCTGTTGCTAAACTGCAAACCACTAATAATGCACGAAACTGAAATGGGCACAAACACATTTTTGCAGTGCCCAAAGGATGAAGCAGTCTGGGTCACCCTTGCTTTGAAAACCACAATAAACCACTGCTGAGGAAGAGGATTTCACTCTGAAAAGCAAACAAATAAAACCTCCCTCTGGGTTCTCACTTTGATCTCAGTAACCCAGCACTTACCACGGGCCAACAGTCACTGCCAGCTCAAGACTGCTGGTGCAAACCAGTTCTTTGCTGGCATTTCCCAACAAGTCAGCCAAATGGGGAAGTGCCAGCGAGGTAAAGTACCAGGATGTATGGAACATACCTCTGCAGTATTGAAAAGCACAGTTGGAGCTGGAATGCCATTTATTTTTGCAGCCTTTTGGATAATAGCTTCTGCCTCCTTATATCTTCCCTGCGAGATCAGCCACCGAGGAGACTCAGGAATGATCCTATAAGTTTCAGAATAAATGACTCAATGTTTTCTCAAAAGTAACAAGTTATAAATAACATATCTATTGTGCCTATGAGTTACATTCGTATCTCACAGATTGCCTGCAGCAGGATACAGCCAGCACAGAAAGCATATGGGCAATGTAATTCAAATATATGGGACCTATTCTCATGCTGAAGTAGATACTTTGTCCTCAGTTGGTTGTTTTTTAAGGAATAATTGATGTCCACCAGATGTCACCAGACAGACAGAAAGGATGGGGGTACCTTAGCCAGTGTGAATAAAAAATATTCTTAGGAAACTGCACACAGTGTAGAAATGCTTTAAATATTCATAGCATGTATTTAAAAGTTCTGTATCATAGGAATCTTATATACAAACCTCACCATGTTACCACAGCTCTGAAGCAGATTCTCCCAGGCAGAGATGACATTTTCTAATCAATTACAGGCACATGTTGAATGAATTAACACCAAATGCAGGACAGAAAACTTTAATTTTCCTTAACTAAATCCTTTGGTCTGAACAGATGCTATCTTGCTCCCTTTAGCCAGCAGCACTTTTTCCTCTCCTTCAAAAAAACAGGTCAGACACTCCTTTTCTGATGAATCCCAAAGACTGATTCAAAGTCAGGTTAATAATTACAAACATCTGATGATTTACATCTGATCATTAATCTCTAATGGGACTTTCTGTAATATGAGCTGCCTCCACTGCTCTTCTTACTGGAAAAGCTGAGGATCTTGGGACTGCAGAGATAATGAATGGAACCTTCTGGAGAACATGGAAGGGAAATGATTAAAAGAGAAAGAATGGTACAGAGCAGAGGGATGTGCAAACCACATGGCCCGTGGAAGCAGTGGGTCCACTTGCCAAAATGCCAGCTAACACCAACCTGCCTTGGCAGAGATTTGCCAGTGCATCTTGATCCCCATCTACTCCCACATGGGCCCCAGACAAAGTGCCGTCAGAGGAAGTTTCTGGCATTTTTAAGCTTAAGCTTTTAAAAATTTTTTTTTAAGGCCTGGGAAATCCCAGCCCAGAGATTTCAAAGCAGGACTCTGAAGCCATGCCTTGGAGACAAGTTTCATGTGCCTCACAGTGTCTATAGCAGACATTTGAGAGACTCCCATCCAAAACCAGCCTCCCCAGAAAACAGCTGCTTGGTGCAGAGGGAAATGCTGCTGTGATGAAGGAGTTTGAAACACTTCAAGTGAAATAAGCAAATTGACCCTTAAACAGAATCAGACTGTCTTTAAAATCCAATGACAGCAGAAGTGGAGCTGAAAACCATTTTAAAGGTTTGGTTTGAAGGCTAAGGTTAAAAAAGCCCCAACTAACTAACAAACCATCAGTAGATACTTCTAACAACACTGGGATATTCTGGAGGTCTTCTAGACTATAGAAGAGTGTGTTAAATCACTAAACTCTTATAAAGATGCTAATTGCTCCCTTACAGATATAACTTTTTCAAGACAGCAAGAAGAAAGGAGTTCCCTGAATAATATGAAAGAACTCTTCCTGTTGTGAATTATCCTTATTTTAAGAGTGTGAGTGATACTTTGCTTTTCCTTTCCTATTTTCAAACACTTTTCCCTTCAGAAAACATCAGATGTCCAAGGCAGCAACCAAATAGGGTTATCTGCCCTTCTTCAGTGCTTCTGTCCAGCTAAAAAGAGTAGGGCTTCAAATACACAGACAGCACCAATGAGGCTCTCTAGGTATTAGCCGACTTAAAATTGGCAAGAAAAATCCAAACAAAAAATGTCCCCTCAAGGCAAAGCCTTGTCACATGGTGAATAGAAGAGTGACCCTCCTCCCTGACCCTCTGCCATTACCCATCACCTAGCACAAAGAGCATCAGGCAGGAGGGGAGGTGGGAAGTGTGGCCTTGGCATTGACTCACCACCAGAGCGGGATGCAGAACAGCCCCGGGACAGTGAGCGCCAGCAGCAGCATCCGCCAGTCTCTGATGAAGTAAGCAAACAGTGGCAGCAACATGTAGCCAATTGCAAAAAATATGCAAACTCCTAACGTAGAGAATAGAATACGAACTGATTTGCCAAGAATTTCTGTGCCTGTTTAAAACAAGGGAGGTTGGATTAGCATTTTAACTCTTTGTTTTCAAGCATAACTAAATACTTTATTGCATTTACAAACAAAAAAATAAGCTACACAATCTTAGAAAAGAGCAGCACAGAACAGACCCGCCTTTACAGAAAAGCTGCTGGGAGTATTGGGAACCTTCAGATAAAGAAGTTACTTCTGTTTGCTTTGATTAATGCAGATTAATTGGCAGACACAGATAAGGACAGGCATGGGGGATGGCCGGCAAACTTCCAGGAGCCTTCCCCACATGCTCACCTAGAACACATCCTGCTCTCTCAACCCAGCCGGATATAAGATGCAATTCACTGCTGGGTACTTATGGAAGAGCAAAGGTCTGAGCACAGCAGACTGACATGGGATGGAAGGATGTGAATTTACAGATGTGAGGTGAGGTGGAAACAAATTTCCCACCCATTTTTTGGAACAGAAGAAAGGCTGGAATGTTGGATCGGCACATCACAGGCTGAAGGACAGAACCAGGGAAGATGCCATCCTCTAGTAATGTTACTGTTCCAGTAGCCAGGCAGCAGTCAGGGAAAGCATCCTACAGCCATTGCACCCTGCAGCGACCTAATATTGAGTAATAAAAACTGAGACAGTTCTAAGCCTTCAACAGCACCTAAATTCTTTTACAATAAAACACCTAGCCACTGCTTAATAGAATCCAGCAAAGCCCTTAGGTCCACCTCATTTCTCCTTGAGTTATCAGTCCCTGGTCTACAGAGCTCTCCTCCACATTAGGAGCACTGCAAGATCCATAACTGCCAGAGTTTGATCTGGACTCAATTAAAACACAAATGACACTGAGCAAACAGGAGGGTCACAAAGTGTGGAGAGTGTACTTGAGCTGTGTATCATGGCAAGAACTTCAATATTTATTATTGCAGAGAAGATGGAAAAATACCCAAGACTGGAAAATCCTATTTGATAGTTACATGAATTCTCATTTCAGAAACCTGGAGTAACTATATCAAGTCACAGTAAAAAAACCTGAAAATAAGAAGTTGCTGGGCTAAAATGAGTGTGTGGGGATAAATGACACCATCTTCCTTTTGACTTGCTCTTGTTTAGAGGGGCTTTCTTGGCAGAGGTCTGACACTTGAAACATTGGTTTTAGCCTGTTAAATGTTACATTATCATTTGTGTCAATTCAAAGCCAGTAAGAGATGAGGTCTCTCTTGCCTTTCCTCTTCCTGTGAGGTTTCGGAAGGACCTCCGGGTGCCTCCTGTGCACCCACACTGTCGGGCTACTTCTTCTTTTTTTGTAAAAAGCAAAGCGGCTAATAGTTGCTGTAAAGTTATTTATTGCAGAAGCACATCAGTCTCAAATGCAGAGTCAAAACTAACAAAGTCCATTCCAGGTTCTAGCTCAAAGTCCCAAACAGAAGCAGAAGCTCCCCGTGGTCCCAGCAGGGCCAGAGGAGCCGGGCAGCTCCTATCTTCTTCTCGGGTGTTGGTTACAGCGCAGCCAAGCAAAAGCAGAGCAAAAGCCGTGGCATAAAAGCAATGGCTAAAAGCAATGGCTCTTTCCAAGCCTCTTCTTTTATAGAAACTTATGAGTAAACTAAGACGTAGAATCGGACCAGACTCGGACCACTGCTTCTTAAGCTATTAGAATTCTAGTTTCTTAACACGCCAAGCTACGTGTAAATTACGTTCATGGCCTATCTTGTTCTAACTGAAAAATGTAAGCAATATTCTTAACTTTAACTTTATTATGTCTAAAGTTAAGTTCTTGGAGCCACTAAAGAAACACTAGCATGTTTTTTAACTTTCACTAGAACATGTACTACTTCTTAGGCATCTAAGAGCTTTTGCTCACTAAAAGCACTTAAAACTTATTCCATTTACTTACTTCTTTTTTTTTAAGTCTACACTTCTACCTTATATGTAAGAGGCCTAATATACTTCAATCCATTTAAAAGTTTCAACTCAATCCCTGCATTCTGATCTCTCCCTGAAGGATTCAGAGAAACTCCTGACTTACTGACTCCAACATCTTCCCTCATTCTCCTAGCCATGGAGTAACAGTTCTTGGACAATACCAACATACCTTCACAAACCTTTGTAGTGCTTTACAGTCCAGAACCTGAACACAACAGTTTTGAGCATAGAGAACAACTGAGACCTAAAGCTAAGAGAAAAATTTCAAAGCATGTGGTTGAAAAAACCCTAACATTGACTCCAGAAATTCACCAACAGCTCAGGAGGGAACTGTTTCCATGAAGGTGGGCAATAGTGCAAAGGGCAGCATGAGCCTGGGTGGCTAAGGATGCTGAAACAGGGTCTGAGTTACACATGGGGAGGCAATAGAGGTTTGGATATTGGAAGTTTGAATGACAAGAGAAACCTGCACTGAACTTGGAAAAAAACCCACTGCACTTGGGGATGGAGGGTGCCAGGGCTGCAGCACAGCCAGGGTCAACAGGACCTTTATAGGTGCTAGTGTCACTGCTACCCTCCAAAGCACAGGTCAGCCCTGCCTGTTCTTGGATGAAACAAGAGGAGCATTTCCAGCACATCCTGTAATCAGGATGGGCTTTCTTAAGGAGTTACTTTTCTTTTTATGGGTATGTTCTCCTATTCAGTACGTCTATCATGTGCAACTTACTGGAAGCTCCTGGGTTTGCCTTGCCACAGGCAGAAGTCACAGTGCTTATGGAGAGAGGCTGGCTATGGAGTGTAGGGTGGGGTGGACCACCCTCTGTAAGTACCTCCCTCCTTTACCCATGATGGTCAGCTGACAGCTCACTTAAATAAGGAAGCTAACATCTAAGTTAGTTCAGATTAGTCCTGCCCTTAGAACCAGCATCAAGGCTGCCGAGGAATGGCCAGCACTGTTGGCAAGTGCCCCACAAATCTGCCTCTCTGCTCCCTAGGAGCCATTGCTGCTGTGGCAATTCTACAGAGCAGAAGATGGCAGAAGAGACAATACAATGGGGCAAGGGTCATCAAATAACAGCTAACCAATTAAGCCTAATGATAACAGGGGAGACCCAGTCCCCTCTCTCAACAGTAGGACCACTCGCACAGTGGGATGTTCCTGGCCCTCCCTTCCAGCTTTGCTTCTGCTGAGCACGAAGGCAGCATGCCAATTCACATCCAGCTGTGCTCCACATTCCCAGGGGAGTTGGGAGCTAAATTCCTGCCTGATCAGAACCTGCACCTCTGTGCTACACAACACCCATATGTTTCCACAAGGATTTTCAGCTTTATCCAGTGCTGTATCTCCCAGCCTTCCCATGGCAGGCATTTGCTCCTGCTCCATCAGCTCCACACAAGAATTAAACTACCAGGACAGTGGCAATGGTGAAAGCCATGGCAGCAACAGTTACAATGATGATGGTAACAAGGGATCTCCCTGCTGACATCTTGACCTTAATCCTCCCTGTGCCACAAGCAGCAGTGACTGTGGCTGCTTGGGGACACAATGCTGTATCCTCTTCGTAGCACTGACTTCACACTATGCTCTTCTGAACTATTTTTTCCCTGTTAAACCTCATGGGGTAGGAAAGACCAGCATTAACTAGTCATGTACAGTTTTAATCTAGCTCACATTACAATCTACAAATTGTAATGTTGACACTAGGGATTTAAAAACTAACATAAATAAATAAGTGCACACTTTAAAGACAGCCCTTGCAAATCCCAGTTTCCCCCCTGAGACCTGCATTACTCATTCCCATAATTTGCCCATGAAGATGCCTTTCCTGAAACCCCCTTATCCAGTGGGAGCCTCTGTGGGACCCCCTTCCCCATAGGGTCCCCTGTTCCCTGCAGGGTCCCCAGGCAGCAACTGCAGCCATGCAGCTGCTGGGTCTTTCTTCCTACACTTCCCATAGAAAAGAAAGTAAACCTTACCTTCCAAACCTTAGGACTTTATCACTGATCTCAACACTGAGAGCAATGACTTTATGGCTAATGTGGCTTTGGCAGCCACTCAGATCCTCTGCTCTGGTCCCCCCGACACTCATCGTGCCTGGAAATTGCTGGTTTGCTCCAAGGCTTTGCACTCAGGTATGCACTGACCTCTCTGCAAAGGGTGCAGAGGAAGGCAGAGATGAACCCAAATGCCTTCTCTATCTCAGACCTGCTGCTGCTAAGCCCTGAACACTGCCTTGAATGTCTTCTTCAAAGAGGAATGAAATGGATATTTATTTATACTCTTCCTGCTCTCTTCTTTTTCTTTAAACCTAGAGAAAGTACAGGCTTGAACAGTTGCAGAGCAAAAAAAATCCATACTGGCCTAAAGTAGGAATTTTACCTAGTGAAGATTTACCACTGCCTAATTAAATGATCCAGGTTCAGAGGGAAAAAGTAACAGTACATTAAGCAAACATTTAATCTAATGTAAACATATTCATACCCAAAATGAAGGCCACCACGTAGTTAGAGATCTGTCCCATCCCCACAATGAGAAAGAGCACTGTGAACATCTCCCAGCTGGTAGAAAAGATCTGCAGGAAGCTGAAGCCAGTCTGCACCGCCATTGTCAAAAAAAGGATATTCTTCCTGCCAAACCTTTGTTAAAGAAAAAATTATTATGAAACAGCATGTATTTATGGTGGGGGCTATGTAAGAGGGTACAATGGAGAACAAATACCCAATCTCAAGTGATGCATCTTAGCACAACCTGAAGTTCTGTTCATCTTAAAGAATTTTATTATTTTCATATGCACTAAAAAATATTAAAATTTCCAAGACCCATGAGACAAACAGAGAAGAAAAGCTATGAGCAGAAACTTCAGAGAGCAACTAGACATAGATTAAGAAGACTAGGCAACAGTACAATAGGGAGACACATGCAGACTGCAAGCCACACACCCAAAAATTAGGAACTGATGGCTTTTAGGCTACTGGCATCTATACTTTGCAACATCATTATGCATCGAGTGTGCTAAATAGCTTTGTCAACTGGTTTCAGTCTGAGTTGCCAGATATACTACACCCTTTCTCTCACCTGTTTCTCTGCATTAGGATTACATGGCATGTTGTCCTGAAGAGGCAGGACAAACTCACACACAGGTTTTCATACCTGTAGGCAGAGATGCTGCATGGGCTGCATTGCCTGCTGCCTGCAGCAACCCTTCACTTGGGAAAGGCTTCTGTAGTAGTCATGGGGAAATTGCTTAGCTACAGGCTCAGATCATAACCCTTTACTGACAAAACCCCCAAATAATCCCCAAGGCAACTCATGCGGGAAGGCACGAGGGGGGCTCTCAGTAGCTGTGCTGCCACATGCAGCAAGGCACACACACTTCCTCAAATGCTCCCACTGGGCAAATGGCAGCACTGGGATTTAGTGATTATCTCATCTCCCTTTCAAACAGTAACACCAACTGACTTCTGCACTGGGGCAGGAGTCAGGTGATTAAATTCAGATCACATGGAATTTAATGCTGGAGGTTTTAGGATTAAGACTTCCAGTGAGTTTTGAAACCCCTTCACTAAGCACCCAGAGGAACATTGCTACCTTATGACAACCTCATTCCCAGACAGCAGTCAAAGCAGGATCAAAGATCCCACCATATGATTTTGGACATGGAGCTGAGGGCTGTATGGAGGGGGAAGCAGAGACTTGCAGAGCGAATATATATTCTGCAGTCAACACTTATAAGGCCAAAACCTGAGCACTGCTGAGACAATTATCAAATGCCTGTAATGATTTTTTTACATTTATATCTACTTAGTGAGATGCTATGACAATTGCTATAATTTTCAGATTATCGTTTTTTTCCTCTCATATGTCCTCACTCTATTTCCACTAAACCATCTCTCCTATGCAGATTCCATTCAAAGGGCAAGTTTCTATCTTGCAGCTCTAACAAGGGATTATCAGCTAATGTGCAACAAAACCCAGCATCTTTTAAACTACTAAAAAGGCTGGATAAAGAAATAAATGGGAAGTCGGTTGTGAAACAAATTGGAAGTGGGTTGTGAAGGGAAACCCACTGCATCATCTTGCAAAGCAGCGACATGGGCTCCTTGTGGAGATCAGTCCCTGGGCTCCGATGGGCCGAAGAGACAGAAATCCTTCACCTGGGGTAGACCAAGATGGGATTTGTGAAGAAGTCAGGCCAGTTACATAATTTTGATCAGAATTCAGAGTACTGGAGATTTCACTCCTTTTGTCTTTTAAAAACAAATGCCCCAGGTCTGCTGTGCTCTGCCCATGGCATTACCTGTCTGACAGCTGCCCTGAGATGAAGGAGCCGATGAGGACCCCCACAAAGAAGAGAGAGGTGGTCAATGGGGCTTTCCAGTTGTCCTCACACACCAGGTTCCACTGCAAGAGAAAGACCTGTGCTCAGACACAGCCACAATGCTGTGCAGAGCCTCGTCCATCACAGGGGCTGCTGGTTGGAGACACAATTTCCTTGCAATGGAATTTTGTTTCCCCATATCCACACTTCCACCCATACTGGCACTATTTTCTTGGTCAAGGTCACTGTTGGAACACCCTGCTTAAAGCACAGGAGTAAGAAGAGAAAATGATTGCCTCCCCAGGCAACTCCACAAGAGCAAAACACCAGCAGCTGTCTTGACACAGCCCCATTACCTCTGAAGGGGGTGAGCAGCCAGCAATGCCAAACCTGATGGGAGCCCATGTGTGCAGCTCAGGGCCTGCCCTGGACCTGTTTCCAGTACAATCCTCCCATAATGTAGCCAGCAGACCCCTGGACCTGGCTCCCCATGGTCCAAGATACTTCCATCAGTGAACCAGAGCAATGGAGAACAGTAAAGAGCCACCCCAGCTAAGGACAGCTTCCAGTTTACCTCTGCCAGCACAAAACCTGCTGCATATCTATAACTTCTGGGGCTGACAAAACATATGTAAGAAGATGCACAGAATGAAATCTCTTTTCTTGCACTGACATGTTACCTAATTCTGTTCCACCCCACAACCTCCACCAATGACTTGCCACCGATCCCTCACAGCCTCATGACTGCAGCTGGCTGGGGCTGCAGACTTAGGACAGGAGCCAGTATGGAAAGTTCCACCTAAAACTACTCATAATCTCAGACAGGATTTAAAAAAATAAAAATGGCATCATGAGCCTCTGTCCACCACTCTGCCAACGCTTGCTCCCTTCCTGGTGACTAATCTCCTGGTTAAGGCATGCCTGCCAGGAGTACTTAGGGAGAGGCTTCAAACATGTCACTCTCAGATCAGATAATTCTACCACAATGGTAAGCTAGTTAGATCACAGATTAAAGTATGGCATAATTTTAATAATTAGCCATGCTATCAGAGAGCGAGGCCATCGCCTGCATCAGCAGTCACCCTTTGCTCAGAGAATGGATGGGCCAAGCACTGGCAAAGCCTTGGTGATAGAGTAGAAACCTGCCATCAGAGCTGCTCAGGCTCCTCACTCAGCTGCAGGCAACAAGGAGCAACTCTTGTATTACAGAGATACTCAGGTGCTGCCTGATGGCACCACAAGCCCTGACAAAAATAAATCACCAGTGGATTGGTGGATGAGCTTCACTGCTGCTGCAGAACAGGAACGTAAACCCCAAAACAAGGGGGAAGGTGGTGTGGTTTGATGCAGTTTGCTTTGGACTGTAATTTAGGAAAGAGATGCAATTAATGCCTATTTTCAGACAAAACAGAAGTATGCTGCCAACAGCAGCATGTCAAGTACCTCTGCCCTTTGCTCAGCCTGCAAAGTAACACCAGCTACACGACAAAAATGTTGAGGTTAAAAACACAGCCCATGTCTCTTCCCGAGGAACACACATATCTTCAGTGCAGGAACAAGGAGACTTGTGGACTAAAATGTGCCTCCAAGACTTATATCTGATTAAGAACAAAAAAACTCTCTGGCAGAATTTTCTGTAAGGTATTTTCTTGTCCCTGCTGTGTTGAAGTGTGGGCCTGTCTGGACACACATCGGCATTTATCTGTACTGTGTTTTGAGAAGGTGGAGGTTAGCATGTGGGTCAGTGGGGCTCTGGTACTTTCAAGGATGCTAGTTGTGAAAAACAGGTGCAGGAATCTGCTTCGCCTGTGAAGGAAAACAGATTTCTGTAAAGAAGGTCGGTAGAAATCAAGTCCAATATTTACTCCAAGCAAAATACAGCTATAAAAACCATGGCATTCAAAGTACACTGCAGAGGTCTTTTACCAGATCCTGCTGCACCTTCCTTTCCCCACTCTGTAAAGCTGTTGCCTAACATCATGGTAGAATTCGCAGCTCATACAAACTATTGTTAATTATCTGGGTACTGAGCACCCTAGTCTGGGGCCACTAGCACAGCACTTGCTGCCAGACCTTCAGACTTGAGTTGCTCAAGGTTAAGGATCAGTGTTTTCAAAATGTCTCCATGGTGCCAAAGGCACTTTGGCTGTAAGATAAACCCAGCTAAATAATAACTTGTCCATGAAACTGCATTACCTCCTTGGTGCCAAATGCCTCCTATCCAAGTGTTGCTCCACTTTCTTCCACAACATACTGCACACCCAGCAAAAATTCACTGGATGAGTTTTTGAATTTGGGTGAATGTGAAAGAACTTGACCTATTCTCACAGGGTCAAGTCTTTCAGATCTAGGGGATGTGTAAATAGCATCAGCACACAGCAGCTGGCTCTCCAAAGAAGGGTTACTGTTTACAGGAACTCACTGCAAAATTTTGACCAGAAAACACACAAACACATCAAATCCATCTGACTTTAAGTATACCTGAAGCTGCTGAGTGAACAATCCACCTATTTTAGCTCAAATATCACATGGCACCTGAGCAATACATCCCTACTCTACAGCTACACCTCATCTCCCAAATTCCAGCCTCCCATCCCCCTCACAGGCACTCACTTTGACTGAGGCTCATGCCATGGCACTGCACAGTGATCAAACACATATCAACATGGTAAGGTTTCACTAGTGCTTCAGAGTATATGGAAAAGTGAAATGCAGCTTCCCCAGAGGGCTGACCCCCTCTGGGGTCAGAGGGGAGAGGGAAATTACCCCTTCCTCAGAGGCTACCTCCCTCACAGACAGCACCAAGCACACCATGGCTACAGGAGCTACAGCCCAGCCACAGCTGGACTGCCTACAGCTAGAACTTCCAAACTGTCTCTACCGGACTAATTATACATTAACCAGAAAATAAGTAATTATCTAATGTCCCTGGAAAAGCAGACTGGGGAGCAAAGTTCATGTAAGAGCCCAAGCAAGGCCTCTGAATGCTAGGAATAGGAGCTGCTCATGAACACTGTTACTAAATCACTTTATTCCTGTCGAATCCCCAGAACCCTTTCCGACAAGCTCCCAGCTACTGGAAGAGCCAGTTCTGCTAGGTGCTGCTGGTAGGAACACTATAGATGGACGAGCTTTCTGAAAAACTGAAATTTCTGGAGAAGGTGCCCTGAGTGCCCAAAGCATCCCTCCTGCCAGCTAGAAATCACTAATTAACATCCTGAGTACAACCCATTCATATTAGAGGAGAAAATAATAGTGGAGCCTGGGTAAATGGGTGTGGCTGCAAACCAGGGAAAATGTGAACTTGTTTCCAAGAATAAAGCTGATGATGAATAACTCAAGAAGTGTTAATTATTCACAGATAGCCCCATCCTCCTCCCCTGGAACCAGCAATTGAGACCAGCTCTGCTCAGTGCACAAGTGACAAGCACAAGCACCTCCATGCTCAAGCACAGGGCTTCCAGGGCTGGGCAGGGCTGCTCTCCACTGATAGAAAAAACCATAACAGAACAGAAAAGATATTCAGATACCTTCAAACCACAGCAATTCCTATCCAGTCTCTTGCTTCTGCCAGTCCCAAAAGCTTCTGGTTTCTGCCTTCACTAACATCAGTGTCAGGGCTGGGACAGAGACTGAGCAGGATGACACAGGTGACAGACCAGTAGCCCCAGCAGAGACTCTGGCACTCACTCGCCCTTTGCAGGGGCCTCAAAGTGGTGTCTGGACATGCCATGGCCCAGTGGTGGAGAGCAGCTCAGTGTGTCCCCAGGGAGCAGTGCTGGGTGACAGCCTGTCTCAAGGAAACCAAGTGGATCCTAATGCCTACTCCTAAGGGCAAAATCAGTGCTTGTCCTTGAGCCTCTAATTCATGTTTGATCTGAGCATCATTATCTGTAAATCAAAGAAAAGTAGATTAAGTTCCAGAAAAGAATACCAATATAACAGACCCCAGGAGTCTGCCAACAGGAAAAGGAAACCCTGCAGCCCCTTCATCTTAGCAAAGAGATCACTCTTGACCCCACAATGACTCACATTTCCACTTGCTCACCATTACACTTACAGCCCCTTTCTTACATGAACCTGGCCCAAAAATCGCCTGTGCACACATTCACTTTTCCCCATCATCTCCATTTTAAGACAATGAAAATGACTCAGTGTGGGATTCTCTGTTCCCAGTATTTAGCATGTCCTCACAGACCAACTAACACGGTGCTGAGCTGGCATCTTCCACTTCCCTTCAAGCAGCACTAATAACAGGATTTATTGCAACTGAACAAATCAAATGAGGTCTCCAGCACTTAATCCTGTACCATCAAGTTCTGTTCTTCAACTCAGTTCTTGAACTGAAGCTGTTTCTTCACTGAGCTCTTCTGATGGCATGTCCTGGCTTGTCTTTCCTAATACAGAGAAAAATGTTGGGTACAAAATTAAGCATCTCAAATTTGTCTAAACTGCCTCTATCCAGCATTTAATCAGTGTCTGTTTTCCTTGTTTTGAAACCAAATTCTGCATTTTTTCCAGATGTCCATGACAATTTCGAAACAACGTAAGTATCCTTCTTTTCCATCTGGCTTACATTCTTTTACATCTTTTCCATCTCTGAATGCACTACTGCCTCTCTGGCACACCCCAGGCCCCATAGCAAGCCCCACTGCTATGTCCCATCTAAATCCTGCACAGAATGCTCGTTTGGCATCTGCCAACATAAATTATGTACTGTTCATTAAGAAGAATCACATTTCTCCTCCTTTTGCTTCATTTACTGCCTCTTCCAGAAGAAGCACTGACTCCAAAACAGAGATTACAAGTTCATAGACACAGCAGGATAAACTGACCTTGGTCTGGCAGTGAGAGTGGCATTGTCTGTGCCAATGGTGGCCACCCGGCACCTGCCATGCAGCCATGCCAGCCTGTGGATTATGTGGGCAGCAACTATCCCAGCTGGGCATGTGGACAGCAGCTAGGCTGCTTCTTCAGTTCGCCTATGGCCAGGAGCAGGGCAAGCTTCCCATGAACCCCTGCCTTGATTTTATATTGTAAGGGATCTCCAGCAACTGAGTACGAGTGCCAGCACAAATGGCAAGTGTCATGTGTGCCAGTGACTTCTCTTTGAGCAGGTGACATGAGGCTGACATCTGCCCACATCCTGCCTGCCTGGCATGTGGCTGAGCCTATGTCTGCACACTCCTAGCAAGACCCTCCTCCTGTGTCTTAAGGGCACAGACTCCTAGCCTCATCATCGAAACCTTTCCTGGCTGTGCCATCCTTCGATGATTTTTTTGGTGGCAGATATTGCTGCTGAGTCACAGGGACTTGTGAGGAGGGTTCCACACCCACTGCCCCTCATGCACCCTGAGGGTGAGCCATCAGTGCATGAGGAGGGTGACCCTTGGCTACTTGGGGCACGGGCAGCTGAAGGACCACGGAGCCTGCCAGTTGCCATGGCATGAGGGTGAGCCCATTATTCCCTTACATAACGAAGAAGAGCAGCGGCACTCCTGCAGTTTCAGAGGAATAATTTTCCTTCTCTAACGGAGCTCCACACTCCGTGTCAGCGTTACAGAACAGCACGTCCCTGCCACCACACCATGGCACAGCCAGAAGACCCAAACAAGTGCTTACATTACCCGGAACCGCTGATGTTCCCACATGACACTGTACAAATTATGCCACTGAAGAGCCTTACAAACCGACCGGACAGCCTGGACGCAGCCGGGTCAGGTTCCCGCAGAAGTGACCATGGCACCTGCCTCTCACCAATTCCAGCGCTGACGGCCACGGAAGCCACTGGCATTCCAGGGTGCGGGGCCAACGAGGGCCCATTCTGCTCTAGCCCCAGACAGGCTAGGTGTGTCTTTACCTGAACGTGTCCATGCCCCCATTCAACGCTACACTGAGGACGAGCAATTCCATTACACAGAAAATTTACCGGAATGGTCAGCGTGTGGCAGGAGGACACTACCGGGCTTTTCAGCCTCTGACTCCCCCTCGGAGTCAAAAACCTGTCTCGGAGTAGAACAAGCTGGAAAACACAGCTGGAATGGCGAGGGCACGCATCTCCTTCGTCAACCTTTACCTCTCGCATCCCTCCCGCTCCTCGCAGCATCGTGCCCACCCGGACCCCTTCCCACAGGCACTTCACCCTGCTTCCTGTTCGCCCTTCCCCAGACAGAATGACAGGCCCCGGACCCGGCACGGCCCGGGGTAGGAAGTGTCACCGCGGCCGCGCACCTCGGTGACGATTGTAGAGTGATAGACATCGCGGCTGTACTCCCAGCCGTCCAGGCACGGCTCCTGCTCCAGCGCCTCCAGCTCCACGTCGGAGCCGGGTCGCAGCCCCAGCGCCGAGAAGTTGGCGAGCGCGGCCAGGCGGTAGCGGCGGCAGCGGCTCGGCGCCTCCTGCCCGCCCCGCAGCTCCAGCGGGATGCTGGCGTTGCGCCACTCGTCGCTCAGGTTGGCCCCGCCGGGCACGATGCACCGGTGCTCGGGCGCGCCGGCCAGGAACACGACCGACATCCCATTGAAACCATTGGGAATGATGCTGGCACTGAGTAGAAAGAAAACGAGGCGCTGGAAGCGTCCCCATTCGCCCAAGAAGGCGGTGGCCGCATCGTAGTCATGCATGACGACCGCGACACTCCGCGGGTCTCCCGCGGGGCCTCGCGTTCCGCGGAGGCGGTGTGGGTGACTCCGCCCCCGCCCGGCCCAGCCCCCGGGGGGGCGGTGCGTTCTGGCCCGGCGGTACGGGGGGAGATCGCGCCAGCTTCAGGCTCTGCGGACCCCGCGTCCGCGGCATCCCTGGAGCCTGCCCTTGGGCACCGCTTCTGCTCCGCCGCCGGCTACGGAGCTTTCCTTAGGAGGCGTGTCCTGTTTTTTTCCATTTATTTGCCTGGGTAGCCGCAGCCGGAGTAGACCGGGTGATAGCGGTACTGGCAGGGTGGGACTGGGCGGCTGCCTTGGCAGCAACTATCGGTGCGAGATCAGCGCCTGATGGGAGCGCCGCAATGGCTTCGCCGCCCCCAGCCTTCCCTGAGCCCTGAATTCCTCCCTTCGGAGACCCAAAACAGGCTATGCTCTCTATTGCTGCTGCAAGATGGAGGCACAGCATCGCACCATTCCCGCGGGGCGGAGCACAGTCAGTCATCACGAGAACAAGTAATGGACAGGGAACTGGAACAACGAGCCATCAGCTGGGAGCTGGCGGGGCTGCCAGCGCCGGCGTGGTCTCCCTGGATCATGGGACGAAAGGTAGCGACGTCAGTAACGGGAGCTCTGCTACACACTGGCACAGAGGAAAACAAGGACCAGACACAGCTTTAGGAATCAAACGTTCTCACAGCCCCTGAAATCCCATCCATAATACAGCCCAGTGCTTTTTCCCAACAGCGTTTACTCTGGGCAACAGACGAGGTCAGCAATGTCTGCTCAGGGAGCCTGTAGCAGCTCTGGCCCCGAGAGGAGCTTTTTATATTCCCATCTCCTATCCATTTACTATTCGTGCTCTACACGTGACTCTGGCTTTGCCCACAGCCGGATACGTGGATAGCTTTCAAAGCCATTTCAGAAATCTGAACAACGCTGTCTTCTAAAATAACTCGGGGAGCACTCAGAAACCCGGTGGTGTCTAAAACAAGCACAGTGCTTGCCCTGCTCGGACAAGATGGGTCCCTGGAGGTGTAAGCAGGGTGCCTGTGTCAGGCTGTACCCAGACGAGGATGCCCTTGCTGGCGGTGTGCTAGGGCGAGCTGGAAAGCATCGCTCCAGCAGAGATCACAGAGGCCGACGTGGCAATGTGGGAAGGAAGCATGGAGTGGGAGCGGTGGCTCGGCGGTGCTTGCGGAGGAGAAGCATAAGGCAACATTCATCTGGCCAGGCAGCGATCTGCTGCTGCTTCAGATGTGGGATGAACTCATGTCATGGGAAGATTCAGGTATCTCCTGTTTGGAGAGGACATCCTTATGCCGGGCCTCGGCAACTGAGGAGCCTAAGCTGTCCTCAGTGATAAGAGAAGGGTGGGGGCCAGTTGGGACGGATCAGGGGTTCCCAGGCAGCAGCAGGCAGCAGCCCTCCACCTGCCCTGCCCTGAGGCTGTGCAAGAACCATAGTAAAGAAATGCAATGCATGCCTGCTCCCAGGAGGAAATTAAGGATGTGGAGTGTATTGTCTTAAGCATTAATGTTAATGCATTCTTAGTAATTATTCAGTCAACAGTAATTTTTTACAGGGGACTAATTTGCAGAGCTCCAAAATAACAGTGCAGTGGTTAGGCTGCAAATTTAGCATATCAAAAGTAAGTAGTAGACACAGACTCAGTAAGTGGTAGATGATGCGCTTAGGTTTATCTGTTTTGCAGATGCATGCTTAACATTCCAAAATTTCATGTCTGACATGAGAACGCCACAGGGTTTTCTCTTATATTGTGAACCTGCATAAATTAGCAGTTATAGAAATCTCTTGTGTTCTAGCCACAGCATCACAAGCTCTTGCTGCAATCACCATAGCCCAGAATTTCTGCTGGGTGCTCCCCAGCTTGCAAAACCCACTTGTGATCCAACATCAGAGATGCATGGGGATTATGAAAATCACATGGAAACAGTGGCCAGTGAATGGCTTGGACTGTTGTGGAGCAAATTCACTGTAGGGGAAGGGCCGGTCCTAGTTCTTGCAACTGATCCTTCTTAAAGAGGTCAGTGCATGTGTCCAGAGAAAGGCAACATAGTTGGGGAAGGAGCTGGAGCATGATTCTGATGAGGAACAGCTGAGGGAGCAGGAGGGGTTCTGGAGTATGGGAGGCTCAGTGGGGACCTTCTTGGTCTCTACAGCTCCCTGAAGAGAGGAGGTAGTGAGGTGGGGGTTGGTCTCTTCTCCCAAGGAACAAGCAATAGGATGAGAGGAAATGGCCTCATGTTGTACCAGGAGAAGGTTAGGGTGGATATTAGAGAAAATTTGTTCATGACACTGACACGGGCAGTGGTGGAGTCACCATCCCTGGAGGACTTTAACATGCATGAAGATACAGCACTTGGTGACATGGTGGGCTTGGTAGTGCTGGGGGCTTTTTTTCACCAATACAATTCTATGATTTTACCACAGCCTTATAAAACACACTTTCAGCTATTAGATGAAGAGCAATGTGTGGGAAATGAGGTCAAGTAGATTCCTTTAAACTGAAATCAGACACCAAGGAGCCGGCAGAGCAAAGGAGGAGTACTTCATTATACAGGGAGATGGAACAAATTTCTGAATGGCTGAGACACCACCTCTAGTGCAGGCACTTAGTTCTTGTGGAAGCAGGAAGCTGTACCAATGGCTGCTGGATGCCACAAGATACCCCCAGCTGTGGAGGAGCCCAGCTCCTGCTCATGTGCAGGCACATTACCCTCACTCAGTATGACACTGACACTGCTGACATCAGAGCTCCTGCTCTGCTCCAGAGTGGGGTGGTACTGCCCACAGCAGCTCTGCTCTTTCTGCTAGGGCAAAGCTCCTTTGAAGGGATCCTCTGCTGTGGTGGGAAAGCTGTACCATCCTCCCAGTAGCCATCTTGACAGCTGGGAATTAAGAAAGCACATGACAATTTAGAGTTCTGTGGATTGCACAGCATTTGGATCACATGGAAACTTGCTTATCAACAGGGCAAAGCAAGACCCATTTTGTATGTGAGACTGCAGTGTGTCCTCTGAGGGGCTCTGTGCCACACGCTGGAGCTCTCATGCCACCCTTCTAGAGTGTGGTACAGCCCTGCTCTGGCCAAAGCCCTGGCCTTGCCCTCCTGCCTACCTGCTGCCCGCCCTGGAGTGATCACATCCATCAGGGTCACATCCCCATGGACCAAGAGCATCTGAGAAAAAGTTATCTTTGGCAGCCTTTAAAAAGACTTTTGACTCATCTCAGCCTTTCTGTTCTCTCAGCAATATAGCACAAGTACCCCTTGGAGCAGTGCCAAGACTTGCCTGATGCCCACTTGAATCCAACTTGTGGGACTTCGAGCTCTTAGGGGCATTATGGCCATCACTTTTCAGTTCCTGGTAGTGTGAATGAACTTCTCTCCTCCTATGCAGAGCCCAACAGACAAGCATTTGGTGTGAATGATTTTTCATCTTATTTGTGGCAGGAATCCTGTAAAAGAGATGGAATAAGGGTATCTGTCTTTAGCAAGTGTGTGAAGATTTGGGATAAACCCTCCCAGAGCCCACCTACTCAAGTGTAGTCAGCTTTCCCAAGGCTGTCACCCACTCACAAAGGACTTCAGTAATTTTGCCTGGTGTGATGTTGCTCCAGCCAGGAAGCTTTGGCCCTGGCTGGGACCAGAACGCGCTTACCTCTGCAGCAGGAACAGGTGCATCAAACAAGTTCTGATTCCCTGGCCCCCAGCCTTTGGGTCAGAGCTCAGTGATGTAAGTCAGGGCTGCATCAAAGTAAGGAATTGCCATAGGTCTTGCTAGAGAAGAGATAAGATGATCAAGCCCATCACTACGATGTAAAACGATCTCCCCTGGAGAGATCACTGCCAGAAGTTTCCCGAAGCACTTCTCTCTGTGTGGATTCTCAGTCGGGAACCTCCCCACCATGCCGAGACTCCTCATAGAAGTGGCTCTTGTCCCATCCTGCTCGAAGCTGCTGGATATTTCAGTTTTTATCACTAGATAGAGCAGGAGACAGCACAGCACCCAGATGGAGCTCTGCCTTGCCCCATGGCCCTGTACCCAGACAGGTCCTCTGCCCCTCATCTATTTCCCACGTCCTTTATAGTCCCCTGCATCCCAGGCATACCCATTTACCACTATCTTCCCTACTGATCCCATACATTCTCCTCCACATCATGCATCCACTGCCCTCCTTTACATCCCCTGCACTCCCCTAGATGTTGGGAAAATCCCTGATGCATGTTGCCTGGGGAGCTGGAATTCTCCATTCCAAGGACAGATTAGACACCTCTTGGGAGAGTCATGGGTGGCTGGTGCTGCCTGCGGAGGGGCAACGTGCGAGTGTCTCCCAAGAGCCCCTCCAGCTGGGTTTTCCAGTGATGGTGTCCATGTCCCACTGGTGAGCCCAAGCCCTCCCAACCCATAATCCCACAGTGCCAGCAGCTTGTATCTCCTCCGAGTCCGTCAGTTTGGGGAGGACACACTCATCACTGGCCTCCTGGAACCCTTCAGGTTTAGGAGTGGAGAACGAAGGTGTTTCTTCAGAAAATAGTTATTTTCATTAATAAAGCTGAAAGCCTGAACCAGGCTTGAGCAGTATCTTTGTGAAGTGTGACCTTGTGCACATTAACTGCCTTGAAAGCAGTACTGGCCTCAGCTCAGGCCCTCTCTACTGGGCTCCCTGCACAACCAACTGTTTTAGGACTACCTAAAAATTCAGAATATTTAAATGTCCTGGTGGAAAAGCTAGTCCTGGCTGGAAGAGCTCTGAGAGTGTTTGCTGGGGAGAAACACAAACAAACTAGCAGGTAAGTTTCTCTAGAATCAGGAACAGTTTTCTGGGTTTTACTATATGTGCATATGAGGAAGATTTTCTTCCTCACTAAAGTAATTAAAATAGCTTCTTTCATACATGAGAAAGCCTCTTTCCCTCAATCTCCCTTCTATGGCAGGACATTTATCCTGGACAAGCTGAGATTTGAGTCCCTGGGGCAGA